CCAGCTGTGACTTGGGCCACTGCTTCTGGTGTCTTCTGGGAAAGGTGACAGGGAAGAGGAGGTAGGAGGTGGAGGATCAGGGGCGCTACCAGTCCCATCCACCCAGGGTTGAGGGTTCTGCTCCTTTCCATCCCCAAACAGAGCAGCTGTTTACTTTTGTGAGAGACAATGTCTCACTATGCAGCCCTGGCTGGCCTGGAACTCATGATGTAGTCCAGGTTGGCTTCAAACTCAGAGAACCACCTGCCTCTGCCTCCCGAGTGCTGGAATTAAAGTCATGGACTACCATGCCTGGCTCCTATTTTTAAAGATTTACTATTTTGAGTTTTATGTGCACAGGTGTTTTGCCCACACTGAGTGTCTGTACACCATGTGTGTGCAGTGCCTGGGGACAGAAGGCACTGGATCCCCTGGAACTGGAGTTACAGATGGTTGTGAGCTGCCATGTGGGTGGCTGGGAATGGAACCTGGGTCCTCTAGAAGAGCAGCCAGTGCTCTTAACCACTGGACCATTTTTTCTAAGTCCTTAATTACTAAAATAAATTTTATATTATGTCAGATTTTGTGTGAACAGAGTAGGAAGCTGGGCATGGTGGTCCACATCTTTAATCCCAGCACCTGGGGCGGTGGAGTCAGTAGTTCAAAGTCATCTTCAGCTTCCTAGTGAGTCTGAGGCCAGTCTTGGCTACTGCTACACGAGATGTTGTCTTGAAATGCAAAAATAAATAAGCAGTTAAATAACTTACAAAGAGCAGACTTGTAGAGCTTAAGGAAGTATTAAGGGCTAGAAAGATGGCTCAGCAGTTAAGAGCATTAGATGATCTTCCAGAGGACTCCAGGTCCAATTCCCAGCACCGACATGGCCACTCACCATGGTCTGTAACTCCAGTTCCAGGGGAATCTAATTCCTCTTCTGGCCTCTGAAGGCACCAGGCATGCATGTGGTGCACATTCATGCAGATAGAATACCCATACAAATAAATATATAAGTAAGTATTAGCAGCAGTGCATGTTAGGATACCCCTGTAATCCACCCATCACCTATGAGGTAGAGGCAGGAGGATTAGGAAGGAATTCAAGGCCAGTCCAGGCTACAATAAGGAGTGTGAGGGCAACCTGGGCTGAGCCCTTGTGTTAAAAACAAAAGAAAACAGTAACAGAATTATAATCATTTCTGGTTTCAATACTGGAATGCGGAGCTATTTTTTCCCAGCAATGTATCATTTTAGCTAAGGAGTATGGCAGGCAGCACTTTCCCTGGCAGAGCGGACTTACAGCATCATCTGCAGTCGGTGACCCTTCGGACTGTGTGTGGCCCAGGGTGGCACCCATGTGCAGCAGGACTCTTGTTCACACATCAAATGTGGCTTTTCTGACTGATCAGTCAGGAAAGAGACTGCACACAAAGAACTCTGCTCAATGGGCTGATTTAAAAAACACAATTTTTTATTAGTTTCAACATCAAAACTCGTTACAGGTAATTGCAAAGTGTCCCCCAAATGACATTCTGCTTTTGTCACCTCACAGGACAAGGGATGTTAAGAGATCCTCGGCACACAGGACAGTTGAAGCTGATAATGAACTATGGCCCACCACGTCAAGCCCACTAAAACACAGGACACACGGACGAAAATCACTGACCGTTTTTCACAAGTGCGGCGGTATTCACTACAGTGCACAGGACCAGGGAGATTACAGACATGTCCAGATTCAGGAAGAAATCCAGCGGCAGGTTTGGTTATGAAGAACAAAGTACAGCAGCTGTGAAGGCTTTCTCACACTTCAAAGATGCAAAGGGCACACAAGTGACAGGAATCAATACTCAGGGGCTGAAAGCAGAGGGTGTGGCACACTCACGGACTGACACCTGTTGTCTCTCCTTAGTCCTCGAGCTGACTTGGGAAGACTGGAGACCAACAGGGAACAGTACAGGAAAACACAAATTATCTGCATAGATAGAAAAGAAAGCCTCCTCCTGACAAGAATGCACACCTAGTCAAGGCCATGTGGGAGCTCCAAGGGTCACAGGACCCACTTCAAGGGTTGCAGGTTTCCAAGAGAAAGCACAAATCCAAGTTAGCAGGTCTCTGCACCTTTACTTCCCCGAGGTCACTTCTCAGCCTTGACTAGAAACCTAACAGGGAATAGGACAAGTTTCCAGCCCTGGCCAGAGACCCAACAGTCGCTATTATCTGCAGCTGGGCTGTGTGTACAGTCAGTAACCCTTGTTGTTGAGACAGGGTCTGACGCACAGACCAGGCTGACCTTAAACTTGCAACAATCCTCCTACCTTCGCCTTGAAGTGCTGGCATGACGGGCGTATGTCACCATGCTTGACTACATTTGGAAATCCTGATTCTGAACTATCACATTTTGCTCTACTCAAGAGTGAAGGGAACTGTGGCATGCTGAGGATGAGGATGGCCCTGGAGAACCACACTGCAAGGGGAGTGTAAAACACCAACAGTCATTTGTCATGTGGTGTCAGGGTCCATATACCACACTCTTCCCATGTACTTAACTGTGTAGAACGAGTCTCTAGAACATGGCTTCTTGGTTGGAAACAAATATTTTCCCAGGACTTTTGTTCCTCTATATTGTCACTAAGAAAAGAAAAATACCCCCCCTTTTTTTTCCCTTTGAGACAGGCTTTTGCTTACATATCCCAGGCTAGTCTCATTCTCTCAATCCCCCTGCCTCACCCTCCTGAAGGCTGAGATTACAGGCCTGTGCCACCACACCCAGACAGTTGTTTCCTTTAACACAGATGTATTAAGGAACACAGAGGACACAGAGGGAGGAGGAAGGGTGACCAAGCTCACCTGTGTGACAGGTGAGGGCCAAGGCTCTACAGAGAAGAGGGCAAGCTGACAGGCATGAACCCCAGGCATCAAAGAATCACATACACTTCCACTGATAATTATACCTAAAGCCTTCCTTTAAAAAATAAATCCTTGAGTCTATAAAATAGTTTACATAAAAATATAAAGCCCATGTCCATCTTTAGTGTTGAATAGAACTTGATTTTCTAAGCACTGAGGGAGTGAGACCTCCCCCAGCAAACCTTTAACTCCATGCATGTGGCCTCTGTGCCCAGGTCCTCTCTTATGACTGTTTGTGTTTTGACTGCATGAATGTGGCTATCCAGGGAAGCCCACATAAAGTGCTAACATAAGTGCTGGTGACCGAGGATTATGTAAGCAGACTGCAACCCACAGCTCAATGGTGATGAAAACACAAGCCACAATCAAGCTGATTAACAACTCCCAAGTCACTGCCTCCATCATTGACGTTTCTTATTTATCCTAAGGAGGAGTCTCTCCTACCTGTTGGGCCTTCGGCTCTTCTCTATGTGACAGGGAGGAGCATCCTCCCTATTTTAAGAGCCCAGTGCATGAAAAGACATGGAAGAACGGGGAAGGCCAACTGCAGTCCCCGCTGCAACGTGCACTTCCTTGTAAGTCTGGTGCCAGCTCAGCCACATTGATTCTAAGACAGTCAAAGCATTTCACTTGATAATCATGACACTTTTTTTGGTCTGATTTGCTTTTTTAGACAGGGTCTCACTGTGTAGCCCTGGCTGGCCTGGAACTCACTGAATTCAGAGATCCACCTACAGTACTAAAATTAAAGGTCCTCCCATCACGGCCAGCCATCATCATGACATTTTACAAAGGCAGGCCTGGGGCTGCAGAGTAGTAGCTCAGTGTGCAAGAGTGCTTGGTGTTCTTGAGGACCAGAGTTCAGTTCCTTCCTAGTACTCACTTCAGATGCTTTACTACTGTCTCTAGCTCCAGGAGATCCAATGCCGTTTTGGCTTTTGTGGGCACCCATATGTACACATGTAGACATACACACCGACACATAAATAAAAATAAATCTTTAAACCTTACCAATCTATATTCTCAATTTTAAAATACTTTTCGAGACAGAATTCATGAAAATGGCAAACAGTTGTCCCCTTGTGGGACAAACTGATCCTGACCTGTCCCCCTGGTTATCCCCTCAACTCAAACTGCCCATTAGTGGTCACAATGATCTATGTAAACCTTTATGTGGAACTTAAAATCTTCTCTGTGTAATCTCCCCTTTTTTGAGATAACCCAATGTAGCCCAGGCTGACCTTAAATTCACTATTTAGTTGAGCACAACCTTGAACTTCTGACACTTCTGCCTCTACCTCCCAGGTGCTGGGATTACAAGTGTGTGCCAGCCTGCCTGGCCTCTTCCTAATGTCTGAGGGATGCTGTAAGAGTTCCTGACTATCAGCTTTCCAAGATGAGGGGCTACTCTTATCTCTTCTGCCTCTCCACCTCTTTACATGGTTTCTGCAGGTGGGTGTGTTGGGAAAATCTAGAATCTAAGAGCCAAACTACTGGAGTCCTGTGGGCCAGCCCTCCTAAGTGTCACGGCTTCATTACCCTCCACAGGGTTTTCCTAACACAAAACCCATTCTCTTTCCTTACATTCTTCATAGTTTGATTCCCACAAAGAGGTTCTGATTCTGAAGAAACCATGGTTACTTTTAGAGTTTCTTTCTGTAGAATGGATTGCAGTCTGTAGAAAGGAAAAGTGAGAAAGAGCTCCCAAGGATCTCAAAAGGGGGATGCTGGAATCCCCTAGTAGAATTATTTCTAAGAAATAATTCAGCCGGGGGGTGGTGGCACATGCCTTTAATCCCAGCACTTGGGAGGCAGAGGCAGGCAGATCTCTGTGAGTTCCAGGCCAGC